TTGGCTTCTGCATGAATCTACTTACCATACCTACACTACATGCTAAGTCAGGCCTTGTATGACAAAGGTATCTCAATGACCTAATAAGTCTTCTGTATTGGGTTGGGTCGACATCATCTTCATCTGCATCTTTTGACAGTTGCAGTCTTAGCTCTGCAGGTGTCGAAGTTGAGTTGCATTCTTCCATCTCAAATCTCTTGAGAATTTCTCCTGCATATCTTCTTTGATGCATCATCAAACCTCTAATGCTCTTGTAGAATTCGATGCCAAGGAAATATGAAATCTCACCCAAATCAGACATTTCGAATTCCTTGCTGAGATCACCTTTGAAGTCTCCGATCTCACTTTTACAGCTACCTGTTATCAACAAATCATCGACATAGAGACATAGTATAAGCAATTTACTATTGCTTCTTCTTACATATACTCCATATTCTGTTGTGCACTTCACAAATTCCTTCTCCCTTAGGAAACTATCAATTTTCTTATTCCAAGTTCTTGGAGCTTGTTTCAATCCATACAGGGCTTTATGCAGCCTGTACACCTTTCTCTCTTCATCATGTTTCACAAATCCAACTGGTTGTTTAACATAAACTTCTTCGTCTAAGGGTCCATTCAGAAATACACACTTCACATCCATCTGACATATGTGCCATCTGTTTATTTCTGCTAGACCAACAACCAACCCGACTGTTTCGATCCTAGCAACAGGTGCAAAAACTTCATCGAAGTCTATTCCTTCTTTCTGTAGGAATCCTTTCGCCACAAGCCTTGCTTTGTGTCAAGTTACTTCTCCTTTGGAATTCATTTTCACTTTGTATACCCACTTGACATCAATTTCCTTCTTGCCTTTTGGCAATTTGACAAGTGACCAAGTGTAGTTGTCTTCGATACACTTCACTTCTTTGTTCATTGCTTTCACCCACTTCGAATCCTTCAATGCTCCAGCTGCATTGACAGGTTCAACATCTACATAGAAAACATAATGTACCAACTCACCTTCATTATATATCACATCATCTGATGTAATCACACAATCTTGCAATCTTGCAGGCATGCATCTTAATCTTTGAGGTCTGCTTGTACTTGGTTGATCTATAACTGCTGGTTTCTCTTGTTGAACTTCTCTTTCGACTTGAGTTTTTGGTTCTTCAAGTAGGATTCCCACTGAATCTTTATTGACGTTTTCAGTCCAATCCCATTCTTTAAGCTCATCTATGATCATGTCCCTGCTGATCACAATCTGCTTGTTCACTGAGTCGAACAACTTGTAACCTCCTATAGAATGATATCCAACAAGAATCATTTGATTCGACTTGTCATCAAGTTTTCTTCTCAACTGATCTGACACATGTCTATGTGCAATAGATCCAAATACCTTCAGATGATTCAAGCTAGGATTCACATCAGACTAACATTCTTCTGGAGTAATTCCTTCTAGCTTCTTCGTAGGACATCTGTTGAAAATGTATGTTGCAGTTGACACAGCTTCACCCCAAAACTCTTTAGGTAAATTCTTGCCTTTTAACATACTTCTCACCATATTCTTGATGGTTCGATTCTTCCTTTTTGCAGTTCCATTATACTGTGGAGTATAGGTTGGAACCACCTCATGCACAATCCTTTCATTTTCATATAACCTGTCAACGTCTTTCGACACATACTCTCCACCACCATCAGTTCTCAAAACTTTGAGTTTTCGACCACTTTGTCTTTCGATCATAGACTTAAACTTGGCAAATACCTCGATCACTTCACTTTTCTTCTTGATCAGGTAAGTCCATAGCTTTCGATTAAAATCATCTATGAATGTAACAAAGTATTTATTACCTCCCATCGAATCCACCTGGATTGGTCCACATACATCAAAGTATATGACTTGAAGAATAACCTTCGACCTTCTTCCTGCATCCTTGTTGAAGCTATTCTTGTGTTGCTTCGCTTACACACATTCCTCACATACCTCGTTTAGAATGTCAATTTATGGAAATCCTGAAACCATATTTTTTCTCTTCAAATCTCTGATATCTCTGAAGTTGAGATGGCCTAGTCGATAACGCCATATCCATTCATATCTGCTAGCTGCAGTCGAAAGGCACTTGTGCTCCATCACATTTAGTTCGATCTTGAAGGTTCTATTATGAGACATAAGATCCTTCAAGATTAATCTTCCATTTGTCTCGACGACTCTCATCATCTTATCTTCGATCGACACTTTATAATTCTTTTCGACCAACTGCCCTATACTGAGAAAATTGCTCTTCATGTCTGGTATGTACAACACATTAGAAATTACTGACCTCTTGCCATCTTTCATCATAATCATAACATCACCAATACCTTCAGCTGCTAGGGTATTGTCATTTGCGAATTTTACCATATTTTTCATTGAGGGCTTTATGTTGATAAATCGGTCTTTCCTTTCAAACATATGTGATGAGCATCATAAATCCAAGTACCATTGATCCTTGAATCTATCTTCATCTCTTGTTGTGACCATCAGCATCATCTATTCTTCTTCATGTTTTGCAAACTTTGCATCACTTTCTTGATTCTTTCGCTTTTCTGGACAATCACTCGAATAATGACCATACTTTTGACAATTGTAACATTGAATGTGACTCTTGTCAGGTTTTGACCACCACCTCTTCTTCTATTTGCAACACTACCTCTTTGGTTGCCTTGGTATGGTCTTCTCTGACTCGACACGTTTCCTTCATTCTGGTTTCCTCTACCAGTCGATTTATTGTAGCCGCCTCTATCTCTGTCGAACCACTTTCCTTTGCCTTTGGTTTTTTTGTTGAATGTGTCTGCAAAGCCACACCACTCTCTGAATTGCCTGCAGCTCTTTCAGTCATTCTTTGTTCATGAGATTCAAGTGTCCCTTGAAGCTCTTCCTTTGTCAATTTCGACAAGTCTTTCCCATCTTCTATAGCCACTACCACGTGGTCGAACTTAGGAGCCAAAGATCTCAAGATCTTCAAAACAACAGCTATTGTTGTTAATGTTTCTCCACGTACCTTGATTTGATTCACTAGTTTTGTAACCCCAGTGAAGAAATCAGATATGCTCTCACTATCTTCCATCTTAAGCAATTCATACGTTCTCTTATAAGTTTGTAACCTCACTTCTTTCACCTTTTATACACCACCAAAAGACTTCTCAAGAACCTCCTAAGCTTCTTTTGCAGATTCTGAATCACTCACTTTTTCAAAATTGTCTGGACTCAGACATTGATGAACTATAAAGAGTGCTTTATAACTCAACTTCTCAGATTCTATGTGTTTCTTCTTTTCTTCTTCTGAAGCGTTTTCTCCAAGCTCTTCCAATCCATCCCTTACAAGAACCCAAAGACCTTGACACCTGAATAAATCTTTCATCTGTTTGCACCAATTCTCATAGTTGTATACTTTCAGAATTGGTAGAGTTGCTGGATAATTTGTATTACCATAACTCGTCATCGTGAATTCTTCTTCTTCCTCAATCGTTCTTGATTGATATTTCCCTTGATTCGTTTAACCGAGCTCTTGATACCAGATATTGGTACCAATCTTGATGAACAAGATTGATATCACCACACAATGACAATGAATTATGAGAAAAGAAAAGAAAAGAAAGAAGACAACCCACAAACTGTGGAAAATTTTATTAATCACTTGCAACTGCAAATTCTGTGATTACAATGAATTGACTTAATTACAAAATTAGGGGTTACTCCCTCTATTTATAGATTTAAGTTAGCTTGCTCCCTAAACTAAAACCCAAAACTATAAAAGTCCAAAATACCTATTTTGGTACTAAATCAAATCTATCTATTTTAGATCTAAATCAAATTTATCTAAATCTAAAATCAATCAAATCTGTGTGTAGCTTGCTTCGACCCACAAACTCTTTAACTGAACAACCTCTATTCGACACACACTATTTCGACACAATCGAGTTACAATTTAACAATTATAATCCGTCCCCATTAGAGAAAATATCTGATTATAATCAGTCGACTATTCAATTTTTGGAACCCTTTCTACAACACAGCCCTTATTTGATTAAAGAATATACCTTATAAATTGGAATATCATTTATCTATCTTCTACAGAAAAATCCCTTGGTAATAAAACACAAAATAAAAACACAAAAGCATATGAGATATATGATTTGTGGAAAAACCTCATGTTAAAGTCTATTTAATTATCCTTCTATATTTCTGAAACTAAATTGTAATACAAAATACATTTTTAAATCATAATTTAAAATATTAGTCACTGAATAGAATTAAAAAAGTGAAGAATTTCTTAAGTATGTAATTTATAAAACACAAGAAAATATATAATATAGTTAGTTAATGTTTTGAGTATTTTTATTATGAATTGTTTTTAGGAGTTATATCATAATCAACTACTAGAAAACAAAAAGGTTAGTCATCCTGACTAGAATTTTCTTTTCCACACTGCTCTTCTTCAACGACACTTCTATTAGGTATGCCTTAAACAACATCTATAATAATACCATTTCTCACATAATTAAGAGCAAGCAGATATAACAATGAAAATTACATTGCTTTCATTCCTTCTCTGCTATTGCTCATATATCATACTCTTGTTGTCTCTCCCAAATGTCTCCAAGATCAACAGTCGTTGTTGTTTCAATTGAAAAACAATTTCAGATTTGATCCTCAAAGTTCCACCAAACTAAAATTTTGGAATGAAAACACTGTTTGCTGTAATTGGAGTGGTGTAACGTGTGAGAATGAGGGACATGTTATTGGCCTTGATCTTAGTGAAGAATCAATCTCCATGCTTCTTAAATAATATTATGAGGGACAATGAGGGACAATGAGGGACATGTTATTGGTATTGAACATTGGATCAAATGAAATTGTTGATCATTTTCCATGCTTCTTAAATAATATTTCAACACTAGTTGTTTTGGTTTTGCGGAACAACAAATTTTATGGTTCCATTGAATGTTCATACTCAGTAGAAAATAATAAGCCTTGGAAAATGATTCAGATTATGGACATTGCTTTCAACAATTTCAATGGAAAACTATCTGAAAAATATTTCAAAACTTGGGAAAGAATGATGCTTGGTGAAGATGGTGATGTATCGGACTTCAACCTCCTACCGCAGAGGCGCATTGTCTCATATTATAAAGATAGTGTTACAATTACATGCAAAGGCCAACAACAGGAGTTGGTTAGAATTCTAAAAGTTTACAAAGCCATTGATTTCTCATCCAATTTTTTTGAAGGACAAATACCTGAGTCGTTGATGGACTTCAAATCAATTTATATTTTGAATTTTTCAAACAACGGTCTTACCGGTGAAATCCCATCTTCTCAAATAACTCCTTGGTTGGTGAAATTCCAGTGGAACTGGCAAGAATGTCCTTCCTTTCTTATTTGGACCTCTCTTTCAATCATTTCAGGTACTCAACTTCAGTCATTTCAAGCTTCTTGCTTTGAAGGAAATGATGGACTATATGGTCCTGTTTACAGTTGTTTTTGGTAAACAACCGCTGATCTCCAAAAAGGGTAAGTTTTTGGTTTACTTACAGGATCGATCAAACTAATCCCAGAACATATGCTAATTTTTATGTAAAATGAGTAAGAAGGAAGAACGTACGTTCGACCCAGAGAAAGGAGGTTTGAGATCGTTGAAAAGTAAGCAAAAGTGTAGAAATGCAAGTAAAAGAAGTAAAAAGATAATTTTGCAGGATAATGGTAAAGTAATGTAAAAAGACTTTCATTAAGTAAAAAAGGTGTTTCCAACGTACATTGCTCAGTTTATCCTTTCTCACGCAGTAGTTACTTGGATAATATTTGAGAGATTTAGTACAATAGGTTGAACACACTTGAAAATTACACAAGTTTCTTAATTTATACTAAAAGTAGGTAACCGTCGAGGGGACATTCCGCGCTAGGATGAAGACAAGTGTCTTCTGCATGTCTCTCGACCCATAGTTTTTTGCCACGTTGCCTCTTCTCAGACGCTGATGAAAACTGCCTTTCCCTCCAATAATTCAAAATTCAAATGGTCTTCGTTCCCTGTGCCAAAGCGTGAACACTTTCCCTCAGTTGAGCAACATAATTCTGGTTCAGTCGAATGAGTCCCTGGTCGAAGATTCCTATCATAACTTAGATATTTTTTTCTTAAGTTATCTCATGTGTCGAATCATACCTCCTGGTTTGGTTCATTCCAGTTGTTTGGTCCAAAAGACTAAATACAGTAAGTGTCGAATTTGGGAGCCAACAAATTGCCCCCCAAGAATATCTATTTCGACGCTCAAAGAAATAGTCATCTTTGAACTTCCCATTCGACACATGTCTTCCCAGTTGTCCACCAAGTCTTGACGTGTGTTTTTCGCCTTTCAACAGCTGCTGCACTTGAGAAAACCATCATTACCTTTTTCTCCAAGATGTCTCTTCAAACTGCCGTTACCATGCTTGCCATGATGACTATATTCCTATAACCTAGGCAAGCATGTCCCAACGTTTCCCAATGCCTGCACGGTAACAGTTTCACGTTTCACCACGTGTCCCACTACCTGCGAAACATTAAATGGTCTTGACGAGACATCTCCCTCTTCAGAAGGCTATAAATACTTCCAAGCTTTTCTATTGGGAACTTTTACCATTTCCAGCTTTTCCAAATCCCTTGCATTCTCACAATATTGTACTGTCAACTTCGCTCTTTCTCTCAAATCCTCAATAATGGCTTTTCTCCCTAATGCTCCAAACAACCCTCAACCCAAAAACGCCGATGATGTCCAGAAACCACCAGAGGTCTTTTCTACCAATCCTCCTTCTTCCTCGATTGATAGGTATGTTGCTGAACCTATGACGAAAGAATGGCGAGAAGAATATGATTCTCAACTCCTCATTCCCATCAGATACGGTGGAAATATGTATGCTATGTCCGGTCCGTTATCTTCATACGTTGAAAATCCCTTGAAAAACTGCGCCTTTTTTCCTACACACCCAAGGCTTAGACCCATAGGTTGCGCCAAAAAACCTAGGGAGGACCCCGAAGACGCCACTTCGGCAAACCAGCAGCATCCTCAGACTACAGAGGATATCAACCTCCAGTTCATGAACAAAGGGAATCGAATCTTTCGCTCAAGCCCTAATCTTTCTTCTGAATATTCAGACTGGTTGAGTAAGATGGAGAGGGTGCAAGCTTCTGTTTGGAAGGAGATGAGCATTTATGACCTGGTGATGCTGTCGAAGACAGGATTTCCTTACTGCCCCCTTATGCTGGTATCTTATTTGTACATTTGGGATAGTGCATATTTCACTTTCCATCTTCCTTGTGGGATGATGAGACCCACTTTATTCGACATAACTTCCATCACTGGGCTTCGACCAACCGGTGACTATTTCGACCCTGAAGACTTGTCTGAAGACGCTATTGGGTTCGCTGCTACAAAACCCACTTATACCACTTTCATAAACCACTTCCACGACAAAGCTTCTAGCACTGTGTCGGAGGTGGAGCATATAACCTTCTTGGCTATGTGGTTGTCTCGATTTGTTTTTTGTACTAAGTCACTGCAGCTGACGAAAAAGATGCTGACGCTCGTAACACAGCTGCACCACAAATACCCCCTTTGTCTGGCTGAATTGATTCTGGCCAACATATATGAATCCATCAGTAATGGTGTGACTCAACTTAAGGTTATAGGGGACAGGGGGAGCTTGCTGCTAGCTGGCCCCTTTTGGCTTCTCCAGCTGTGACTCAATGCCACCTTTGAATCTTTCCTTCCCCAGAAGAACAAGATCAACGAAGAGGCTCCTGAAATTCTGAACAGGAGAGTCGAGGGCACCAGGCTTGCATTACTGACTCCCACTGATGAAGGCCAACAGTTCCAGAAGGCTTTCACAAGCTTTGTAATGATGTTTTCGGAGCGAAAGCGCTTCGTTTCGACTATGGCTCCTTTCGCCAGTCGAAAAGTTGGTCCGGAATGGTTCACCAGACCATATCCCTCGAATGAGGAGGATGACGTGACTAATGAGTTTGTGAGCATGTGGGAATCGTTTCTCCGCCCCAGGATCATGCCTTTGAGATTTAAGAGCTCAAAAAATCAATTGAGCTTAATTGCTTATCAACCAAATCTTATCTCTCGACAATTTGGTGTTGCTCAATCGCTTCCTTTGCCTATTTACCCTCGAGAGAAGCTGCTACTTTTTTACAATGCAGACTACTCAGAGGATGCCGCTACCAAGCATATTGGTAGGTATTCTGGTCGAACTATACTGACCTTATTCGATTTTAACCTTAACTTTCTAAGCTCCATTCCCTTTGAGGAGTGGTGGAAACAATATTATCACGAAGAGTTCTTCGATGAGAAGGACTTCGCCCACCACCTACGTGAGGCGTTCAAGCTTGTTCTCGACAAGGTTAAGAAAGGTACTACTCTTTTCCATCTCTTTGCCTCAGATTTGTCTACCAACACTCAATTAACTGTAGTTGTTTTATCTTTTGTTTAGCTGTCAAGAGAGCCAGCTCGAAGAAGACTGCTGAGAGTACCAAAGAGGGAGATTCCGCTGTCAACCCCTCTCCTAAGGTATTCACTTTCTTTCATACCCTTACCTATTTTTATCTGACACAGGTACTAATCCCTTCGACTTGGTTTTCTGTATGCTCAGAAACCAACCCCCAAAAAACGGAAGGTTCAAGAGATCCAAATCTCTAGCGATGAAGAAGAGGAGTCTCCTCCTGTTCCTTTGCAGAGACGAAGATTGAAAAAGCCAGCTCCTATCGTCGAACCCCGTCCAAAAATTAGGATTAAGACTACAGCTGGGAGGCCTCCTCCTGTAGTCATCAATGAACCTACTGAATAGGAGGTAATCGCTAGGTTAAACAATCCCAGCGAAAGTGACAACTCTAGTCCTGGTGCTGAAATCCCAGTCCAGGTATTTACTTTGACTGCTTATTATTTATTTCTTCCACTTTCTTTTGCTTTGTGAAGATTCTAAAAAGAAACAAATTCTTTCTATTTTTTAGGACACTGCTGGCACTTCCACACGAATTCCTACTCATGTCGAGGATTCAGCCACTCTCTTGAATAGTGATGGGAATCCTACTTACAGGCCCTCTTCAGCGAAAGGCTCTTTTATGAGTTCAACTGACGAAGTAAATCAGTCTTCTGAACCTCAGCACGAAACCATAGAAGAAGCAGATGAAGAAGAAGCTGCAGGAAACCAAGAGGAGACTAGGGTTCCGCTGGTTGAAGTGCGAGAGACTGGGGAGGAAAGTGTCCCTGGCTTTGAAACTGAAATAGAAAGGGAGAATGCAGAAATCCCAGAGGCTGACGGTGAAGAATTTTTTGCTGAAGGAAACCAAAATCCTCCAGGCACTAAAACAATCCCAAGTCAAGTGGCCAACATGGCTGTTACAGCCAACGAAAGTATCCCTTCGACCGGATCCAGAACTAAGGAGGATTTGGCCTTACTAAAACAACATAATCCGTTAGGTTACCTAACTGCAATTCTAGAGGGTCGAGAGAGTTCCTCTGATCACAGCGCCTCGACTGCATCTGGAAGATCTACTTCGAATTCCCCTTTCGACGAGGCTCTCCAGAAAGTTAAAGCACAAATCTTTAAAAGAGATTTGATGTTAACTTTAGAGGGGGAACCAGCAGCCCCTTCCTTTCTGAAAACTATCTTGAAAGTTGTCGATCTTCTTGTTGCTCCTCCTGATGTGGCCAGTGTAATCTTGGATTTACTCTCTATTGTTGACCAGGTATCAGCGGATTACAATCGTCAGAGGATTCTCAATCGTGAGATCGAAGAAGCCAATGGTCAAGTGGCTGCTGATTGGCATGCTGCTACTGAATCCGCTTCTAGAGTAAAGGACTTGTCGAAGGCCCTGGAGGCTAGGCAAAAGGTGGTCGAGGAGATTGATCGAGACAATGTTCAATTGAGGGCACAGATTGCAGAGTTGGAAGCCAAAATTGCTGCCAACGACAAAAAGAAAGAGGAGCTTCTTGCTGTGAACAATGAGTCAGAAAGCCAAGAAGAATTGGCTGAAGGGTTAAGACATGCCGATCGAGCTCAATCTCTGGATGCTAAGCTCAAAACCCTTCACCAATCGAAAGCTCTATGTGATCGAAGGCTAGAATTGCAAAGAATCAAGTATCTCCAGATTAAAGCCAATCTTCCCTTTTGAATCTTGTTTCTCTCAATTATGTAATCAGACTTCTATAACGATTTTCAGGTATTTTAAGTTTCCATTTTGGCATTCTCTATTAACAGTGATTATATATTATTTATTTTTATCTTTTGAAGCATATGTCTATACGTTTTCAGGTATTTACCATTTACCTTCAAGATTCTTTGATCTTCGCTTAATTCCTCGATCTCATAGGCTCCGCCTGAGAATGCTTGCACAATCCTAAAAGGTCATTCCCACTTAGGGGACCATTTTCCCAAGCTTCTGTCTTTTCGATCCATTGGGAGTATTACTTTCCAAACTAGATCTTCAGGCTGAAACGCCTTGGACTTTACTCT